TTAAAAAACCATCAAAATCAACACATTGACCCTGGCAGCAAGGGTACCCCCCATGAACCCTGAGGCACTAAATAATAACCAGACCATGAATAATGCTAACCAGATTCCCCCATCAAAAAATAGATCTGATCCCCTTATCTTTATTCATGGTCAAGCTTTCCATTCCACTTGGCTCATCCCACACTTGATTCTAGATTATCCCAAATCCACAAATTTATGGGATCCCTTTCTTTTAGAATTCCTTTTAAAAAACCATCAAAATCAACACATTGACCCTGGCAGCAAGGGTACCCCCCATGAACCCTGAGGCACTAAATAATAACCAGACCATGAATAATGCTAACCAGATTCCCCCATCAAAAAATAGATCTGATCCCCTTATCTTTATTCAACTTTATTCATGGTCAAGCTGTCCATTCCACTTTGCTCATCCCACACTTGATTCTAGATTCATCCCAAATCCACAAATTTGTGGGATCCCTTTCTTCTAGAATTCCTTTTTAAAAAACCAGCAAAATCAACACATTGACCCTGGCAGCAAGGGTGCCCCCCATGAACCCTGAGGCACTAAATAATAACCAGACCATGAATAATGCTAACCAGATTCCCCCATCAAAAAATAGATCTGATCCCCTTATCTTTATTCATGGTCAAGCTTTCCATTCCACTTGGCTCATCCCACACTTGATTCTAGATGTATCCCAAATTCCACATAATTTGTTGGGATCCTTTTCTTTTAGAATTCCTTGTAAAAAAACTATCAAATATCACACATTGACCCTGGCAGCAGGGTTCCCCCCATTGAACTGAGGCATAAATTATAACCTTGGACCATGAAATTATGCTAAGCAGATTTCCCCCATCAAAATATAGATCTGAATCCCCTTATCTTTATTCATGGTCAAGCTTCCATTCCACTTGGCTCATCCCCACACTGTTTAGTTGATCCCAAATCCACAAAATTTAGAATCAACACATTGACCCTGGCAGCAAGGGTACCCCCCATGAACCCTGAGGCACTAAATAATAACCAGACCATGAATAACGCTAACCAGATTCCCCGATCAAAAACAGATCTCATCCCCTTATCATTATTCATGGTCAAGCTTTCCATTCCACTTGGCTCATCCCACACTTGATTCTAGATTTATCCAAAATCCTCAACTTTATGGGGCCCCTTTCTTTTAGAATTCCTTTTAAAAACCATCAAAATCAACACATTGACCCTCATGAATTTCCTTCTCAATCCCTCTTGGAATACATGCCCGCCCTAGAATGCATGCCAAACCCTCATGAATTTCGTTCTCAACCCCTCTTGGAATACATGCCCGCCCATGCAAACCCTCATGAATGTCCTTCCCAATCCCTCCTGGAATGCATGCCAGCCCACTCAAACCCTCATGAATTTCCTTCTCAATCCCTCCTAGAATGCATGCCAGCCCATGCAAACCCTCATGAATTTCCTTCTCAATCCCTCTTGGAATACATGCCAGCCCATGAAAACCCTCATGAATGTCCTTCTCAACCCCTCCTAGAATGCATGCCAGCTCATGCAAACCCTCATGAATTTGCTTCTCAATCCCTCCTAGAATGCCTGGCAGCCCATGCAAACCCTCATGAATTTCCTTCTCAATCCCTCTTGGAATACATGCCAGCCCATGAAAACCCTCATGAATGTCCTTCTCAACCCCTCCTAGAATGCATGCCAGCTCATGCAAACCCTCATGAATTTGCTTCTCAATCCCTCCTAGAATGCCTGGCAGCCCATGCAAACCCTCATGAATTTCCTTCTCAATCCCTCTTGGAATACATGCCAGCCCATGAAAACCCTCATGAATGTCCTTCTCAACCCCTCCTAGAATGCATGCCAGCTCATGCAAACCCTCATGAATTTGCTTCTCAATCCCTCCTAGAATGCCTGGCAGCCCATGCAAACCCTCATGAATTTCCTTCTCAATCCCTCTTGGAATACATGCCAGCCCATGAAAACCCTCATGAATGTCCTTCTCAACCCCTCCTACAATGCATGCCAGCTCACGCAAACTGTCATGAATTTCCTTCTCAATCCCTCTTGGAATACATGCCAGCCCATGCAAACCCTCATGAATGTCCTTCTCAATCCCTCCTGGAATGCATGCCAGCCCATGCAAACCCTCATGAAATGCATGCAAAGATTCTTGGCTCAATACTACTTTAGAATTGGCCCAATTCTAAACTAGTATTCCCCCAAAGCAAAATAAGAAAAAACAACATGCCCAATACTACTTTTGAATTGGCCCAATTCTAAAGTAGTATTCGAAAACCAAAAAAGAACAGAGCCCAATACTAAACTCCTTTAAACAAAGCCCGACCCTGAAAATTCTCCCCTAATCTTTATGGTCATTCAGGGGGGGGGCCCTATTTATTAATCAGAGGTCAACATTAGTCTGCTCAGGTCTACTCCGGGCCCGGGCTCCCTTCGTGGCTCGTCTGGGGCCCCAGCATCTTCTCCGAGTCCCAGCGCTGCTCGCTGCAGGTGAGGCTGAAACCTACCGGGATCACCTGGCGAGCAAAGCGAAACCCACTGGCACCGGCGAGGTTGCAAACCGGTTCACCTCAAACTTGAATTTGTCAGGATTGCCCCAAATCCGCACTCAAGATTCAATTAGCTAGTCTATTGGTGTTTTCGCTGGGTGAGTCCCACCGGCATTTGGAATGTGTCCCCAGCAGGCAACGATTTGCTCCACCAACATGCGAGTCTCGTCCAGCGGCTCACAAGAATGTGAATCACTGCGTCAACTCCTCATGCTGCCCACTCTGACAGACACAAGGAGATACAAAAACTCGAAGTGTCTTGAACAAGTGCTGGTTGCATGTTGTTGTAGACGATCGCACCCTAGCCCGACCCCCACGTCTGCATCGGTCTACCAACTGTTGACAAGCAGCTAACGCTGCGGTCTCTCCTGGCATGGGAAATTCCTCTGATGCTGAAAGGCATGTCGTCCAAAGCTCAAGCAATGCCCGCAGCTGCCTTCGGATCCCTCTCTGTGTACATGGCATTCACACTCTCCACGCCAGAGTTCGAGACACCTCGGGCCAACATCGGGTGAGCGAGGGATAAGCTTTGCAATCCACTCCCACCAATGTCCATCGATTGCTTGAGCAATGCCAGTGAACGCAGTCACGCACCTCTCTTAAAAAGGCGGCACCGCAGCGCACTGGGTCGCCCACGCAGTTGGGCTAGCGAAGGTCGAGGTTTGCTGGAGTACCTCCCAACCACTCAGCCAAGGACCTCTAACTTCATATCCGAACAAGCCCCTTGTCAGAGATACGAGATAACTCTGATGCGAGCTGATCCTGCTGGACATTTTTAGGTTTTCCAGGGCAGTCTTGTCCCCCTGCATCACCCAATGGCCTGCATGAGCAACACGTCGCATATCAAACTACATTGTGCCACAATTGAGTTGCTGCGGGCTAGGGGGGTTTTAGGCCTTCTTTGAGCTTACTTAGGGAGGGCCTGGCAAAGGTCCGACATCGGGGTTGCCCAAATGCGTTGCCCCAAAGCCACCGCAAACCTGTACAACCCTCGTGGCTTGGATGAACGGGAATGTGCTGATGTAGTGCAAGACGAACAAAAGAGCCTTTTCTTTCTGCGCTGAACAGCTTAAGGTTTTGAAATTCGGCTTGGTGGGCGAGGCACTCGGCAATGACTGCCATGACCTCCCTTGCTCGTGAGTCCTGCGAAGGCATAGGCAGGTCCGAGCTCTTAGTTCATTTTAAGGCAACATGCAATCGAAATCTGAGCAGACTTGATATCCGCGCCACAAAAGAACAAGCATCTAAAAGGGCACACCCAGATTTGGGCACAAGATACGGTTTGTACGCGCTCGCTCACCTGGGCAATCTCCATCGGCGTAGCTCGAGCCTCCATGCCGAGTGCCACATTCTTCTTTCAACTCCCATTCACGGCATTCCCCCCTAACCATGAATTTGCATCATTCCAGAGTCTCAGTCTTCAAGCCGTGCTGCAACTAGCCATCCAACTGCCCGCATCCGATCAGGTGTTCACCTTCCAAATATCGTCCAAGAAGTGGAAAGTAGGCTTCCTTTTGAGGCAACGATGAATGTGTGCATATATACATATATATGGTCCCGTGTTCCGTGTTGCTACCCCCCCCCATATGGTATGGGTCTCCCAGGACCCCCCCCCCGGATCCTGGCACCTACGGTCCCACCCCCACCCCGACCCCCTGAACTCGCACCCCGACACCCCGGCACCCCCACCCCCAGGACAAGCCAACCCGCAACCAACCATAAACCAACCCTAAACTTCCCCTAAACCAACCCTAAATACACCCTAAACCAAACCCTAAACCGTAGACCTCTAAACCTAAACCAACCCTAAATCAACATAAACCAACCCTAAACTAACCCTAAACCAACCCTAAACTAACCCTAAACCAACCCTAAACTAACCCCAAATACACCCTAAACCAATCCCTAAACAATAAACCCTAAACCTAAGCCAACCCTAAACCAACCCGAAACTAACCCTAAACCAACCCTAGACCAAACCCTAAACCGTACACCTCTAAACCTAAACCAACCCTAAACCAACCCTAAACCAACCCTAAACTAACCCAAAACACACCCTAAATATACCCTAAACCAATTCTAAACCACCACAACCCAACCACAGGACCACAACCACGGGGGGGGGGGGGGGTAAACTTGTCTGACCCATGACCATTGGTGTTGCGGGGGGGGGCTGGCAACGCTGTAATATATATATATATATATATATATATATGGTAGGGGGGGGTGCATATATATATATATATATACTACCCAAAAGCACTTTCCCGCAGCATACTTTCCAAAGGTAACCACCAGGCACCGCTTCACTTGACTTCTTGCCCCGGTCCAGTGAATGACTCTCTGAGGGCTCTGGCTCCCCAGAGAGAAAAGAGTGAGTCCCGCTTCCGCTATCCCATCTCTTCAATTGCCTCCAACCGGAAGTATCACCACCCTGCACTTTCAGCAGAACATGGGAACGTAAAGGCAAATTTCAAAGGGCGACCAAAGCACAGCATCCGACGCAACACGTTGGGCAGCCGCGCCTGGCCCCGGTTGGAAGGGTCTGCCTTGGCCTCCAGCAGCGTGCGGGCGCCAACTGGCAGGTTGTTGGAAGCCATGCGGTGCAGCGGCGTCATGCCGTAGGTGTCCAGGGCCTCCACCTGGCGAATTCGGGAAAAAGCAAACTGCAGCCATCCTCTTTGGGCTGAAGAACAGGACTTTGGGATGTCCGTTTGTCTGTCGGACATACTGTTTTGGACCCTTTGCAATGCAGAAAATGAAGACGAATGGAGCTGAACTGAACACTCCATCCTTCATCTCTGGTGGCAATCATGCTGCCCAGGACCAAGAATGGCTCACATGTTCACTCAGTCCGCTCCCCATCCAGTCTGATATCAAAGAGCACAAGCAGAGAGAAACAAGCTATGCAAAAAGCTCTCCACTGCCGCCCGGCCACCCAGCCCGTGCGAACGGGCCTTGGCACCGCGCCTGGCAGGGCAAGGCCAATGCGATACAAAGCACTCCTCGCGTGGAATCTGCTCCAGCCTGTCGGCAAAGAAGGCGCACATGCCGGGAGGTCTTAATCAGGTACTCCGTGGCATGCTGGTTGTCCCGACCTTGGCAGGGTGACCATACACCCAGAAATTAGCTAAGTCCAAGGGGCCTGTGTAAGGAGGATCTGAAGATGCGCACGTGTGTGCGTACGTGCGGGACGCGCGTGCGCACGTGCAGGGCGCACGTGCGTACGCGCAGGGCGCGCGCACGCGCGCGCGTGCGTGCGTGCGGGGCGCGCGCGCGCGTACGCGCGGGGCGCGCGTGCGTACGCGCAGGGCGCGCGCACGCGGCAGAAACGCGTGCGTAAGTGCGGGGGCCACGCGCAGCGTACGCGCGGGCCGCATTGCGTACGCGCAGGGCACGCGTGCGTGAGCGCGGGGGGCGCGCCCGGGCGTGGGGGGGGCCGCAAGGGTCGTGGGGCGCGCATCCGTGCGCGCGGGGCACGCGGCCATGCGGGGGAGGCGCGCGTGCGTGCGTGCGCGCGGGGAGCGCGCATGCTCGCCGGGCGACCAGGTGCGTGCGCGGGTGTGTGCGGGTCGCACGCGCCGGCGCGCGGGCGTACGTGCGGAGAGGCCGGCGCACGGACACGCGTGCGTGCGCGCGTGTGCGTGATTTCCAAGGCACTTCTAGAATCCGCCAGCCTCTCTGCTTCCTTTTCTCAAGCTCACTCCAGAGCGGAGTAGCGTGTTTTTTTTTGGGTTTTTGTTTGCGGTCGCTGTGAACTTCGGATGGATTCCTGGTGCCCCTGGTCCCAGGACCAGTCCTAGCCGATTCTAGTCCTGATTTGCGTATTGGCTGGACAAGCTGTTTGATTTGCTTGAAAAAAGCAGGACGGGTTGGGCGAGCCATACTTTTTCCTTCAGGGGGAGCTAGGAGTGGACGATGTTTTGCTTGCCCTGAGCCCATCCTGAAAAGGACGGGTTGGACCGGCTGGACAAGCTGGCTTTTTGCCCGTCTTGATTTTGCTCAAAAAACAGGACGGTTGGATGAGCAACACTTTTTCCTTGACTGGGCGAATTTCTGCCCTGGTTTGCATGGAAAACAGGACGGGTTGGGCCGGCTGGACAAGCCGTTTTTTCCCATCCTGATTTCTTCGAAACCAGGACTGGTTGGACGAGCAACGCTTTTTCCTTCAGGCCCAAACTAGGGGTGCAATGGCGACGTTTTTTTGCTTGTGCTGAGTGCTGAGCCCGTTCTGATGGACGGGTTGGACGCGGCAAACCCGTCCTGAATTGAACAACAGGATGGGTTGGATCAGTCTCAACTAGGAGTGGACGATGTTTTTGCTTGTCCTGAGCCCGTCCTGATTTGCCTGGAAAACAGGACGGGGTGGGCCGGCTGGGCAAGCTATTTCTTTCCCGTCCTGATTTGCTTGAAAACAGGACTGGTTCGACGAGCAATGCTTTTCCTTCAGGCTCAACTGGGGGAGTGGGGCGGACGACGTCTTTGCTTGTCCTGAGCCTGTGAGGACGGGCGTGATTTGCTCGAAAAACAGGGCGCGCTTTTCCTTCAGGCTCAACTAGGAGTGGGCGGCGCTTTTGCTTGTCCTCGCATTAGCTCGGAAAGCTTCTGCATTGCTTCACAGTTCTTAATTAGCAGTAGTTATTCCGGGTCCTGATAGCAGACGGGCTGCGATTTGCTCGAAAAATTTGACGGGTTCGACGAACAAGAGCAATAGGGCGGGTTGGGCAAGTTCTGAAACGCGATCCGGGAAACAGGAAAGGTTGGACCAGCTGTGGTTTCTTGCGTGCTTTTTACCCGTGTTTTGGCCAGGAAGCCGCACAGCTTGGGCGAGCTGTGATTTTTTGGCCGTCTTGATTCGCCGGAGAAGCGGGACGGGTTGGACTAGCCCTGATTTCTCACCCGTTCGGTTTTGCGGGGAAACAGGACGGGTCGGACGAGCTGCGATTCTTTATACCCTGTTTCTTGCCGGTCCTGATTCTGACCAAGAAACAGGCCGGGTTCTTTTCCTGAGTTGTTCGACGCGCTGCGCTTTCTTACCCGCCCGGATTTGCCCACGAAACAGGACGGTTGGACGTGGTCTGATTTGGACGACCATGGTTTTTTGCCCGAGATGCGATTTCTCACCCGCACTGCTTTGCGGGAAACGTTTGCGGACGCAGCTCGAGTTGGGGGAAGGCGCAAAACACTGCAAAAAAACCCTAGCATCCCGGCAGCGTCGGCAGCGTCGCCGCCTCGCCCTGCGCGCGCATCGCCTGCATCACCTGCGTCGCCCGCATTTGCGCCGCGTTCGGAGCCAGCCTTCCCCGAACCAGTCTTGATGGGGCGGGCGCGCGCTCTCATCCATCGCCCACCCACCCAACCCACCCACCCCACCCACCCCACCCACCCCACCCACCCCACCCACCCCACCCACCCCACCCACCCCACCACTCGCCCACCCACTCGCCCCCCACCCGCCCACCCCCAGCCATGCACCCGTCCATCCATCCAGCCAGCCATCCATCCCATCCCGCTCGTGCGAGCGTGCGGAACAGTCTAATCTGCCTCTCTGATGTTTGGCCGAATTGGCTTCACTTACAAGACGCAAATTGTGGAGGCGTTTTAGGCAGTGCCGTTTTCCTTTTCGTTTCCAACGATTCCAAAGCAAGACATTATATAGAACCTCTATGGTGGAGCTGAAAACAGGGAACTGGAGCCGGGAATGGAAGCAAGGAACCAGCACGGAGGTCCTGGACCTGGAAGCAAAGCAGAGAACTAGAAGCAGGGGGCTGGAAACAAGAAACTGGGAATTGAAAAGCAAGGAAGAAGCCAGACAAGGCAAGCGCCTGGAAGCAGGAACTGGAAACTGGAAGCATGGAATTGGACAAGGAAAGCTGGCGGAACTGGACCTGAAAAGCAGGGGAAGCGAAGCAGGGAGCTACGTAGAAGCAGGGACCTGGAAGTATGGAAATGGAAGCCGCAAAGCTGGAAGCAGGGAACTGGAAGCAGCGGACTGAAAGCAAGGAATTGGAAAGCAGGGAAGCAAAGACTTGGAAACAGGAAGCAGGGAACTGGAGCAACAAATCTGCAAGCAGGGAACAAGGAGCAAGGACTGGAAAAGAGGAGCTGGAAGCACAGGCTAAGGTCCAGGACGCAGGCGCCTGAGAGCAAGCAGGTGAAAGCAAGGAACTGAACTCAGGGAGTTGGGCGCGAGGCCCCTGGAAGTAACTCCTTCATGCATGGGGCTGGCTTGTTTGCCCCCTGTACGTGCACGGCGCCTGCGCGCGCCCGCTCACCCCGCACGCGCGCACGTACACCCCCGCGCGCCCGCGCCCCGCACGCACGGCGGGCACGTACACCAATAAGGGCTAGTTGTTCAAGAATTAATCCAAAAACTAGGACCTACAGCGCCTGCACGCCTGCGCGCACCCTGCACGCACGCACTCACGCTTCGCGCGCCCGCGCGCTTGTTCACCCTGCGCGTACACATGTGCACTCCCGCAAGCGCGCCGGCGCGCCCCGCGCGCACGCCGGGCATGTACACAAATAAGGGCTAGTTTGCAAAATATGGCCAGGCCCGCGCCTGGCGCGCGCGCGCGGCGTTTGCACGCCCGTGCGCGCACTCCGCGCGCACGCACGTACACCCCGCGCGCGCGCCCGTTCCCGCCGCGCGTGCTCACGTACACCCCGCCCGCGCGCCTGCGCGCGCACCGGGCACGTACACAAATAAGGGCTAGTTTTTCAAAAATAAGGCCTTATTTTTGAAAAACTAGCCCTTATTTGTGTACGTGCCCGGTGCGCGCGCGGGCGCGCGGGCGGGGTGTACGTGTGTACGCGCGGGGGGGACGGGCGCGCGCGGGGGTGAGCGGGCGCGGAGTCAGCCCCATGCATAATGCAGTGGCTTCCAGTTGTAAGAAGGTTCGGAGTCAGACAGCTTGGAAATGGATTGAAATAGAAGAGAGTAAGTCAGATATAAATCTGTTTTTGTGGTGGCTAACATTTTGTTCTTATCAGATGCGGTTGGTTATGTTCCGCAGGGGATATAGTAGACTTAGGCGTAGCTACTCAGGAAACTAAAAGATAAGACATCTTTGTACCTTCCACATCTCTTCTAACCAAAAGAAATTGAAGATAATAAAGCATCTGTTTGCATATCTGTGTTTATCTTGCTCTTGTGTTTTGTGTTCTTATCTGCTTTGCTATGTTTGGTCTGGTTTGCTAGTTTTGCAAGTTTAGATAGCGCATCAAATGCACTTTTCAAGCAAAAGGGCTTTGCCACTATTAAAAGGCACATCAGTGTTGTTGTGATGCGTGGCCTTCCTCACTTTGATGGAATGTTTTCCTTATTGCTTGATGTTATGACAAGCTCTACTAAACAATCTCATTTCACAAAAAGCAGTAGGCCAACCAAGCAGGCCAGTGACAGGCCCTGAAAAAATCCAGCTGCGCAACCAAGCATTGCAGCGACAGGCCCTGAACAAAATCCAGCTGCACAAAAACGAAAACGGGAGCCACACACCCAAGAAAAACAAAGTAGAAGCCCAACGGAAAATAGCACTTCACGAAGAGAAGCAGGCCGACCAAGCAGGCCAGTGACAGGCCCTGAACAAAAACAGTTGCGCGCAAAGAACAGCATCCAGGCACAAGAAGCAAATTAGAAGCCCTACAAGGCCTTGAACAAAATCCAGCGCTGCACAAAAAGCAGCAGGCGCACGCAACAAGCAAATTAGAAGCTCTACTACTTGAACCCGACCAAGCAGGCCGGCGACAGGCAAGGAGCAAAATCCAACTGCATTACAAAAACCGGTAGGCGCACACAACAAGCAAACTAGAAGCCCTTCAAAACAAATCCCACTTACAAAAAGCAGCAGGCCGACCAAGCAGGCCAGTGACAGGCCCTGAAAAAATCCAACTGCGCTAAAAAACGGCAGGCGCACACAACAAGCAAACTAAAAGCACTTCGGAAAAAACAACAACAACGCTTCACGAAAAGCAGCAGGCCGACCAAGCAGATCCACGAAAAATAAGCAAATTAGAAGCCCTACTAAAAAAACAACTTCACGAAAAACAGCAGCCCGACCAAGCGGGGCAGTGACAGGCCCTGAACAAAATCCAGCTGCGCAAAAAAGAAAACGGCAGCCACACAAAACAACAAACTAAGAGCCCAACGGACAAAACCCCACTTCACGAAAAGCAGGAGGCCGACCAAGCAGGCCAGTGACAGGCCCTGAAAAATCCAGCGGCGCACAAAAAAACAGCATCCCCGCACAATAAGCAAATTAGACGCCCTACAAAAAAATGTCCCACTTCGCAAAAATAAGCAGCAATCCAGCGCTGCACAAAAAATCGGCAGGCGCACACAACAAGCTACTAATTGGACATCGCAACAAGCAGCAGCCCGACAAAGCAGGCCGCCGACAGGCCTTGAAAGAATCCAACTACGCAAAAAAATGCATTTGAACTGTTTGACCTCCCTAAATAAAGAAAGACTATTGCGAGGACCCTGGACTTTTGAAGCGCTTGGGCCCCTGTGTGCAGAAACATCACTTTGGGGGACCTGGGACTTTCAACGTTTTGAACTTGGTTCTAAATCAGGAACTAGGCCCTGGATTTTGACCTTTGGCTTGTCTTTCGCAACTTCCGCCAACCCAAACTAAATGAAACAAGCGGCCCCTCCAAGATAGCGGCCCCATCCAAATCACAAACCCAAACATACCCAAATTATGGTAAATGGAAAAAGCGGCCCCCTCCACACCGCCAACAACAATTAATTAGATGACATTACAACCACCAACCGTTGCACCAACCCAAACTAAGTGGAAAAGCGCCAACGCAAACTAGATGAAACAAGCGGCCCCTCCAAACCAGCAACACAAACCAATTGGAAAAAGCGGACCCCTCCAAACCACCAACCCAAACTAAATACAAAAGCGGCCCCATCCAAACCACCAACACAACATTAATGAAGCTGGAACGAAACAAGCGGCCCCTCCAAACCAGCAACTACTAACCCAAACTAAATGAAACAAACAGCAGCCCCCTCCAAACCAGCAACCAAAGCCCCTCCAGACCTCTTCTTTGCAAGGCCAGGCTTTCCCTCCTTGGTTTTACTGCACCAGTTACTTGTCTTATTGCGCAAGGATGATGCCATTGTTTGGATTAGGATTATATCTTGCTACTTTTAGAAGGGTGCGCAACGTGCGACGCGGCGCAAATCCTGGCACGGAGGTGTGTAGCGGGGGCCCCTCGTTAGTCTATAACGAGAGAACAGTGCTTGACACTTCCTTCCGCAGTTCCAGCTCGAAAGTCGCAACTACTGACTCACCTGGCCCTTCCTGCCACCTGTTGCAACCTTTCTTCTACTCAAGGGCAAGCGCTGTGCAAGTTGGCTCTACAGGTATCAGGCTCTGCAAAAAAGTCTGCTTTGCAAGCGACGGGCAGTTCGCAAAGTCTGGGCATGCTGAAACCAGTGAGCTTCGTAGACCTGGGCAAGTCGCATTTTGTGATCCGCAGCTTGTAAAGGTTACGGCGGACTCGCCGATCCATTTGGTCTAGGACGGATCGCAGCAAAAAATATGCAGCTGGCTCGCTGCTGTTCGCCTGTCATTCGTGCGTTTATCCACCCAAAGTATGTGCGATGGCTCGCGGATCATCCTTTATTGCTCGCTTTTTGGACAAAGTCAATTATTTCACAGTGTTTTATCTGTGGTTTAAAGTTATCATAGCATGGGATATCTTTTTTACATCTTCTATCATGTTGTGTCATTTTGTTTTTTCTTAGTATCTTCCTAGTAAAGGAAACAATTCTCTGCTTCCAGTTCGCTGCTTCCAGGTCCTTGCTTGCAGGTCATTCTTTCTAGTTCCTTGCTTTTCAGGGAACTTGCTTCCAGGTCCTCGAGGTGCAAATGGTCAAGCATCAGAAAGGTTTAAATTAAGGTCTTCCCAGCCTGTATGTTGGAAGTGTCTTTTACGCCTTGGAATCTTTGGAAGCCCCGCCCGCCCACCCGCCCACTGCCCGCCCGCCCGCCCACCCGCCCACTGCCCGCCCGCCTACGCGCACGCGCACATGCACACGCACGCACGCACGCACGCACGCCAGCGCGCACGCACGAGCGCACGCACGCACGCACGCACGCGCGCACGAGCACACGCTCGCAATGCGCCCCCCGACGCAGCACGCCCCACGCGCACCCACGCGCAAGCACCGTACAAGGCCGACACGCGTTCGTCATCAAGAGCCCGCACGCGAACAGCGGCGCTGTGTATTCAGAAACTCGGGTGCGCGCCCCCCCGCGCGCACCCCCCGCGCACCGCGCACGTTCGCGACGGAACAAGAACCTCAGAATCAGGCCCACAGGCCTTTTGAACCTAGATAACCCAGAAAGTGATTCAACCATCTTCGCGTGTTCACAAAGACCGTGTTTCTGTAAAAACTACAATGACGACAAGCTTCGCTTCGAGCCAGTGAGTCGAACTCCAGGAGCTGTGCATCGCAAAGCTACCCATCTTGGGATTCGAGGCTGATCAGGGCCGAGGCAAGCAAAAGGGTGCCTGTTGCTCCTGTTCGCCTCCCCAGAATCCCATGGCCAAGGCCCCAGCCCATGCCGCACATGTGCAACGGCGTGGCACCTCAGCGCTCTGACAATCTGAGGATGTTTTATCCTCCCCCCCTTACCCCACTTGCTCGAGAGAACCGTAGAAGACTTGGCGGAAGCACAGCTCTGGATTAAGGGAGGCCTTTGTGATATTCCTTACGTTGGAAAGGCGCATAGTCTGCGGTGTTTGAAGAAACGACTGCAAAATATGAAAAGGGCCAGCCGCAATCCCTGATGCGCCCTTTTATAGTGCACAATGGTGCAGGGGCTCGCCAGTTGATCTCTACCAGGCCGACAGGATCATGTGGTCAACTCTCTCTTGGCATCCCTTGACCAGGATTCTGCAGGAGAGAGGAAAACCAAGGGCTTCAAAGACAAAGTAGTGCGATGTCTATTGCTTCAGCTCTGGCGTTTCCACAAACCAGCAGCTAAGCCCAATTTTCATTGAGCCTCCCCTTGACGTCCGGAACATTCACAACAGCCACGTTCAAATTCATTGGGCTGTGACATTGTGTCTCATCCACGAAAGTCTCAGCCTTGACCCAACTGCAATGAGTTCTTTGCCGAAGCTTGAAGCCCTAGCCTCGCCGCTTCCACATTCCCTTCCTTTGGGCTTGATCCCGAGCCATCGGCCGCCAGTTGAGATGTCATTCGCCAGGTCTGGGTACTTGTCCAGCAGCCTGGGCCACGGCACCCGGTTGCCTGTTGATCGGGAAGATTGATGCTGTTCCAAACGGGTCGGACCCAGGGTCGGGGTCCTCGGCTCGCATGCTTCAACACGGGCTGAGTAGAGTACCCTCCCTTTGACAGCCATGGAAGTCAGTGCCTGCTTCGACGAAAAGGCTTGCCTTTCTGGATTTGGGCCATCATGCTCAGTCCATGCATCTTGCCTAGCACTAGCTGCGCCCAAATTGTCTGTAGCTTCAGAGTGATTGACTGAAGATTTGTGCGATTGAATCTTTAAACCCATTCATTGCGAGCACCTATGGGCTCTCTCCAAGCATGTGGGGCCAATATCCACTGACCATCAACCTAGTCCTGCTTTGGGCCTGCATGGTTCTGAGCTGGTGGTTCACCACTTCCACAAGGATAGGTTGTGGACAAGCTGTCTCTCTCTGTCTCTCACTCTGGCTCACTCTGCGCTGCGCACGCGTAGGCGCGAGTGGCCACCTTTTTCACAGTCGGCTGCGAGCAGGCACGTAGGCATCGCGTAGGCTCAACTTGACAATTTGCCCATATGGCGGGTGCGCACTGGTACGAGTTTTAGCACGACACACACCGCGTGAGCACTTTGAGAGCAAAACTCCAACCGCGTAGGGGCGCGTAGGCGTTCTAAGGCAGACATACACCTTACGTAGGCCGTCCGGCATGGTATTTGCGCATGACGTAGGCGCCGGCGTAGGCATTTGATGATACGTGACTAGGGTTACCTTCCCAAACAAAAACATATATATATATACATACATATGTCCACTCTCCAAATGGAAACTCCCTAATGCCCTCCCGTCCACGGCGGGCCGCCAGGCGGCTTCAGGGCCGCCGTGCCCTTCCGCAGCGCCTGCCGATGGGGCCACGCGATCCGAACTGTTGTGTGATCTTTTGCAGGGTTTTCGAAGGCCAAGATCATTCGTGGCTTGGTGATGTGCTTCACAGCACGTGTAGTGTGGATTTTGGCCATTTCAATGTGACGTACCTGGCCCCAATCAGAATCCTCCTCCCCACCGCTGCCGTCGTAGCCCATCTTCGCTGTCATTGTCATACTTAATTTCCCTGTCGTCGTAATCATCATCATCATCATCCTCCTCCTCCTCCTCATCCTCCTCCTCCTCCTCCTCCTCCTCCTCCTCCTCCTCATCCTGCTCCTCCTCCTGCTCCTCCTGCTCCTCCTCCTGCTCCTCCTGCTCCTCCTCCTGCTCTTCCTGCTCCTGCTCGTCACTATCAAAAATATACAATCATCATCTTTGTCGTCATTGCCTAGGATTGTCAGAATCCCCATGAATGTCATTTCACGTCAGCCTTCCACGACGTCATCTATCTGCAAAATGTTGGACCGCAAGCCAGAACAATCTTACGGTTACAGGCAAGGGGTGCGGCTAAAGGCAAAACAATCAATGAGCAATAAAATCAGCCTGCCTCGTTGATGGGAGTGTAGCCCCCGCCGGCATAGATGGGTCCGGGTCGTGGGTTGTGGTTCTGATACTGCCTGGCATTCTTGAAGCTTGGCCATGCCCTCACAAATCCATGAGAGGCGCTGTGAAGAATCTGTGATCCCGGAGCGATGCTAAACTCGCGCTTGGTTTCTCTGCAGTATCAAAAGCTTACCTTGGGACTCCACCCTCAATGAGAGGCTCTAAATTACCTGGTTAAAATCAACATGAAACTTTGTTACAGGCGCTTGCTTCCCACTTACCTCTCCACCACGCCTGCCGATCAAAACCTGCCCAGAGGTATCGCGCTTCACGATGCCGCCGTAGATGCCTGCTATGCTCAAGCTTAGGTGGAGGCGTGCCCTCCTGTTGTCCCTCAAGCGTTCCACAGAGACGAAAAAAGACGACGGGGGTTCAGCGCCGAGATCAGCAACCCGCAAACAGATTCAAAAAAAAATCGCAAGCCTGGACCCACGGTGTCCGCGTAGGGGTCAAACCTGGCCGATGTCCAAAATCTATGCAGCCCAAGAGCACACCGGTTACTACGTGCGCAGTGCTTTGAAGTACAGTGATGCACCGATTCCTCTACACCAGATTCAGCTTTGGGAAGGAAAGACAAATTTGTGGATATCAGCCGAATTCACAATGAAACCATCTCCAATGGACCCCAGGGACTTGCCTCTGAAGACCAAGAGTTGGCCGAACCGTGGCAGCTGCGCCCCTCGTTGTCCGTCTTCCCAGGCAGGCCATACTTCTCCGCCATGCCCGGGGCATAAGGGTCGTGCCTGTCAAACCACAGGATCACAAATTGGAACACGGGTGATTTACAACACAATGCCAACCATTCAGAGCCACGCAACATCTCAGCACCAAGCCTGACAACACCTCACAATGGCTGAGCTGCCGACGTGATGCGAACACCATCATGCCGGTAGTACTCAGACCTCTCACAATTGGGCAGAAAGATTATCTGCAAGCAGGTGTCCAAATCTCACGTGGGCAAAACTGCCAGCGCTTGACAAACACCTGCAATCTTGATGCCAAGGACTGCGCATTGCCGTGGTTGCAGCAGGCATGGCTCCTCCGACGGTACACAACTTGGAAACCCGTTTGGCGTCGCCTTCGGCGTCCATGCGTTGCTTGATGCGTTGGCTTCTGATCATTTTCTAGCCACGGAGAGCTCCGTTTGGAATGCCACGTACCCCGGTGACAGCTCTGGCACCTGCGGCCTTGGATTGCACGATCTTGGAGCAGGCCACCTCAAGCAATGCAAGGCCTCAAGCAAGGGTGGAATCCTCCCAAACGGAGAGTCCTTTGAAGGTGTATCTGAGGGATATGCCTTCCTGTGTAGCTTGTTTCAGAATGACCCGAAGGCAGCATAACAACAAACCGAGCCAGGCCACCTTTTGCCAGCAAACGCCATGCGTGTCCAGGGCATATGCGAAGCAACGCATGGCCACATTTCGGCCCACTGTTGCTGGACATCATCAATTTATAAACACTCAAAGTTTACTCAGAGTCGCAGATCAGGTTCTTTGAAATTCTCCAGCCAACATGTCAGACGTCCCTAGAATCTTGCTTCCTGGCTCCGGAGCACCTAATCACTCAATCACACTGCAACATGACGTGTAAAATCGGCTCGCCACGCGTAAGGTACGTTTGCTTGCAAAGGCCAGTCTTCAAATTCCAGAACCTGCACGAGCCAGCCGCATCGCCGGACAACAACTGGTCCCCGTCCCGCGAGATCGCGACGGAGCGCACGGCATCCGAGCCCTCGATGGTTTGAGAGCAGGAGCCCGTATCGAGCGCCCAGAGCACACACCTGCCATCAAAGCAGCCGGCGACCGCCAGGTTAGCCGAAACGGCCAGCGCGAGAACTGGCGAAGAACCGGAGAAAGTCATCTCACAATCACCGGAAATACAGCGCCATACTTTGACAGAGCCATCAAAGGATCCGGTTATGACACGCTGATCTTCAGCAGCAAACGCGACGGATGTAAGAACACCGGTGTGACCACCAAGAACATGAAGGCACTTCCCTGTTTTCACATCCCATAGCTTTGCCAGCTCATCAGAGCCTCCCGTTACTGCATAGTCCACGTTGCTGGAGAGACCAACCGCGAGTACAGCCCCGCTGTGCCGACAAAGCGTCTTGACACAGGATCCGGTCGCTACGCTCCACACCCGACCTTGCTGCAGAACTGATCTCTCTTACACCTACAAAGTGGCACCTACAAAGTGGGCTTGCAAAGAAAGAAATACATACCTCTCCGCACAACAATACTGTTTGTTTCCCAACAAAAAGATATGGGGAGATAGAGTGGGTCCGTATTTCAGGTGACCTCCCCAAGTCCTCCATAAGTTCACGATAAACTGCCAAGAGCTGCTCAAAGCTCAAAGACTTCCCCCCAAAGTGTGTGCCAACTCGCTCCCCAGCCGCCGGTGCAATTCTCGCTGCCGGTGATGCAGTAGGCTCCGCATGCGGAGAACGCCGCCGCCAGGACGCTCCCGCACCGAGCCCGAAGGGTCTGGGAGGAGTCGCCGCAGAGACGCGCCAGGCCCTGGGGGTACCCAGCGAGCAGCTGCGAGGAGTCCTGGACTCGAAAGGCGACCGCGGTATGGTGCCAACGCGCGATCCTCGCTTCCAGCTCAGATGATACGCATGTGGAATCTCATGACTCAGACAGTCATCCTGATTTGCCCAAACAAAATCTACCAAGCAAATCGACGGAGAGGCGCAACGGGGCAAACCTACAATACGCACCAGAAGCGCCGAAAACGCAATCCGTCGCGCCAAGCTCCCATTCCATTCCCACTCCGAACGGACTCCGAACCCACCGGGCTCCGCCCTCTCGGCCGCCAAACACAGCGCCCCCTGCGGCGGCGCCGGCAGCGCCGCGGGGGCGCCGCCCGCCTCTGGGGCCCAGCGCCCGCAGGCGCCGTCCGCGCAGAGCAGCGCTGAGGGCGGGGGGCGACGCACCAAGGACACCGCGGCCTGCCTGGACATTCCCAAAAAATGGCTCAAGTGATCCCATCGTTCCAAGTTTAAGACATGGCTTTCATGGGAGGTTGCTTCTCAGCTCTGGCTCGGGGAGCCGCATCTTTTGGTCAGGGGTCTTCCCCACATGTGCACTGCGAGAGCGGAAAAGACACGCAACAAAGACGATGTCTCCAAAAAACAGAAAAGAAAACCCAACCATTCCCCATTCCTTCCAGCTTAGGTGTGGTTTCCGTTCTACCTTCCTACCTTCCTACCTTCTATCTCTGGGGCCCTCGCTCTAGGCCCTCGGCATCCAGGCGCTCGGGACACAAACTTTGGCCCCAGACCGCTGGGTGCCGCTCCGCCGCTCCGCCGCTCCGCAGCATCCAGCGGCGCCGCCAGCTCCCACCGAAGCCTCCGAAGCTCCAACGGGAAAGGAGAGGCTGCGGCTGTAGCTCAACGGCTCAACATTCGTCAAACAGACATTCTAATTCAAATTTGTCAAACAGGAGGTACCGGTTAAGCAGAGTTAAGCAGGTTTTGGTACCGGTTGCCACTTACCAGGGCAGGTTTTGGTACCGGTTGAGCCATCTGGCAACACCCCACAAAGAATGGCGAAATGCCAAAGCACTCCGTGCGTCAAAAGAAGTTGCTCCAATGACTTTCTAAGTTGCTGCATCCTCTAACAATGCAATGCTGCAGCTTCTCTCGTACCCTTCCACCCAGAGACAGCCACCCACTGTGATCAACTTGAGAGCCCTTTTTCTGCTTCTGTGCCGTTGATATGGCATCTGACACACCTTTTTAAGGGACGCGGTCTTTGTCTTTCACTTTAATGAGTTGCAGGATACTTGGCCCCATACCAAAAGGCAAGGGCCCATCATGAATTTGGTCTTGAGATGGGTTACAAAATCAGTCGTAGAGCCGGTCGGAAAATGTTGTCACTCACGGGAGCTGGTTGAGCTGGCATTCCAATAAAATGCCCGGTGAATGAAATCGTAGATGCACAACTATTTGGTCAGTCTCCTTGTTGCTTGGGCTTCGGTTTTGGGACTTCATCAATCTGCTTAATGTCACTACAAACTGTCTGGGCTGATCTGGAAAGCCTGCCCAATGACTGGGCAAAGAACCGACAGTCTCTCAAAAGTTGCAATCAACCGTTGAAATTAGATTCACTCACGTTGTAGCTAGGTTGTGCGTTCTAAACTCGTGGATGGATTGACTGCACCGGTCTGTTGCGAGTTCAACATTGCTTGATTTAGGGGGGCGCGCGCGCGCACGCATGCGCACCCGGCGTGTCCGCGTGGGCGCGCCTGCGCGTGGGCGCTGGGGGGGGGGGGGGGTCGTGCCTTCACAACATGTGCATGTATGTGTGTGTGTGTGTTGGCATTTTGACACGGTGATTTGATGGGACATAAATCCCATCTGCCTGGGGCGGGAGCTCCACCACCGACACCCTCTCACCACTCAGCGCCCAGTGCACACAGATCGACACCAGCTCGCTCTTTCGCTTCATCGCGGGCCGAGCGATCTCGAAAAGTACAAACACTGTGTCCAACATCTACCCAAGTTCAACTTGCACAAGGCTTCCCTGTGGTGAGTGGCGAAATTGAAGTTTGTCGCACAGGCTTTGTCGCATTCAAGCTGTGACAACTTCGCGTCTGGCCACACTCTGATTGTCCACATACTTTGGCCTGCTTTCTAAACATAACGAAAAACAAACAAGCCAGTTTGCCCATGCTCTTGCATATCCCGATTCTTCGAAGAAAAAAGAACTGTAAGCCATAAAGCTGCAATTCAGCAAAACTGGAACACATCAGCAAAGGTTGGCAGCAATAAAAGCACGATAATACACAGCAGCTTGCAAATGCAAGCCGCGCTGAGAGCTCCGCTGCCGTAAGCAGCCGCTTAAGCATCCATACACCGCACTGCAGCCTACCAACAACGGTGAAAAAACAATATGGAAAGTAGCAAAAAAGTCAAAATCCTTTCAAGAGTGCTGAATGACGATGCCATTGAGATGTTATGTGCGTGTGTGTGTGTGACATCTAGATGTGTAAACATGCCTAGCACGGGCCGTCTCGGTTTTCACTTGCCCCTGTGCAACCTGATGCCATGAGAGCCAAAGGCATGAGCGTGCGGAAGCCGACGGCAATCTTGCTTCACGGCAGCCAGACATCCGGTCTTGCCAAACATGTACCAATGGATCAAGAAGTGAACAAACAAGTATTTGATTAAAAAAATCAGGCCCCGTTCTGTTGGCCGAAATCGGAATCTCGACTGTTTGAGAAACGCAACGTGTTGCTTCATACACCTTGGTGTGTCTCGTGCCCGTTGTCCCACCCGGTCCAACCCGGCAAAGAGCAAAGCCACTGCTTTCACCAGCCCTGCCGCGCGAGCTCCGCGCGGAGCCGGCCCAAGCGCTCGTACTCGGGGCTCATCTCAGCCTAAGCCGCCGGGCTCACGGTGACTATCTGCACGCGATTCTCCGGAAGAGGAAACGAGCAGTGGGCAACTGTGTTGCTGCGACACTCAAACCGCTTTGAACATTTCGATATGTGGCACATCCCCTTGCCCAACGCCCGGCACCCCATGGCCTCGCCCAGAGATGCCTGCGGAAGGCTGGTGTGGCGCTTCGCGTGCACCGCCTCGCACCATCGGACGTAGGCGTCCTGGCATCAAGACGTTCGTTCGACCAAAAAATATCCGCCCCTGCACTGGTCACCGTCAGCGAAGCTCCTGCTCCTCCGGGCCGAAGCACCAGCTCTCAGGAGAGGCACTGCTGCGCCTGAGACAAGCGGTTCATCCCGCCCGCCCACGGGCACCTTTGACATATAGATCATATGCGTATATACATTGATATATACATATATACAAATTGCACATCAAGGGAAAGCAAAACTGAGTTGGCTGGGTTGGGGCGCCTCTGATCGCAACCCTTTCCCCTGAATTGGGATGGCATAGACCTCCCCGATTTATTGGGGAGGGATATGGATACACCAAAAGCTGCCTGGCATATGGGTGCGTTTACTGGGGCTCGTGAAGTGAAATATGCTCTCGTTTCCAACATCTGCGAACAGGGGTAGCCCGCTGAAGAACTTAATAATCCCCCCTTGCGCAAGGTTGACATGCAACTCCAGGCCAGTCTCAATTGGAGCCAATTCCTCTCTCCGAGAGACAAAGTCAAAAGAACGCCCGGCCGACTTGCTTTCCGCCGGCCTCTGGCGCACCAGCTCAGCCAAGGTCGCCGCCGCCAGCCCCGACGCCGCCAGCCCCGCGTCCGATGCCGCGGCATCCGCGGCGTCGGCGTCGGCGTCGGCGTCGGCACCAGGACCGAGGCCCAGTGGCTCGAAGTCCCGGCGCCGCGTCAGCCACAGGGCCAACTGGCGCGCACCGCCGAAGCTCAGCTGATTCGGCTCGTTGCGACTCGATGTGAAAATCTCGATGCATATTGTAGATGCACAAATTTGCATACCGAATGCAAACTTCATGTTTTGGTAGGCCCCTTGTCCCCTTGCCGTTGGTTGGGCCATGGCAGGAGCACTCCCCTTCCTCCCCCTCCTCCCCCTCCTCCCCCTCCTCCCCCTCCTCCCCCTCCTCCCCCTCCTCTTCGCCTTGGGCTCCTCCCCCAGGCGGCTGCCCAGGACCGAAGGCCCCTGCGCCAGGCGCCGATGCACGAAGCCGTCCAGGCAGCGGCGACACTCCGCAACGGACCCGAAGACTCGGGAGCAGACCCACAGATTGGAGCCCTCCGATTTCGTCACCTCAGGGAGAAACGGGGAAAGGAGGAAAGGGGGAAAGGGGGAAAGGAGGGATCGTGAGAAGGCCGCGTCGCAATGGGATCACAAGCTTCGCCATCCCTACTCCAGCTGGACTCAAGGCTCTCCATTTGGAAGCCTGGATTACCAAGACACAGTCAACAACAGGAGCTCCCAAGAAGCCCTAATCTGGACACATGCTTGCGCGCAGAACTCGCCCAGCCTGGCGGTTTGCCAGCGGATCAAACGCCTTCGAAGTCTCAAAGATGAAATGCACCTCCGCAACCTCGAAGTCTGGGCAAAGTATCACCCCTGGTTACCAGCTAGCACAGAACAACTGGCTAGACCAATGTCAAAATCCCCTCACCAAGCCGTTGCTTAGCTTCGGAACGCAAGGCAGAATCCTCCAAGCAAGTAGATACCAACTCATAGCCGTAACCAACCTCCCAAGTGGTGAATGATGGTCATCCTTGGGTTCTTTGGGCTTCAGATATCCAATCGATGTTTCTCCTCTTAGAAAAACACAACTCAGCCAGTGGCTGCAAAGATGCATGTTGCGAAGGCCACATGACAGCCGAACCTGACCATACTCCATAGTTGCTGAGAATCTGGAAGTCCGACCTCAAGTTGTTGGCATCTCTCAACGGTCAATCCTACTTTCCCGTTGGACGTCTATTTGACGGCATTCTCTTCCACTTGGGCCCAGCGGCTCCAAAGGCGTCACAGCTGCGAAGGATTGCAGCAGCATCAAGCCTCTCATTGAGAGGCGCTCAGTGTGCCTATGCCTCAAATGGGGCCAGGTCGGTGTCCTGTTGGTTTCCTTCAAAAAGCATAACAAATACCTGGTCTTGACGCCACGTCCATGCACTAGTTTCACGGGTACTTCCAGTCAACACAGAAAACAGCAGGGCAGTTTGTGGAAGTGTCTATGTTCAGTCAACTTTGATGATTGCTTTCAGGATCTATGCTTTCTCGAGTCATGGTTTGTCTTGTCAACTTTGGCTCTTGCTTCAAGTGTCGTGGCGGTGTCCTGGCCACACAGACCTGGGGAAGCACAATAGATATCTAGGTGGGTTTGCCAGTTGGCGTTGGCCCGCCATGGCTTTATCTGCAGCCCATGGTCTGGGCTCCCGAAGGCTTGCTTTTCTTCAGGAATGCTCTTACATCGTCACAACATGCGAAAGTTTCGTGCGCGCTTGCTGTGTGTCCTCGTGCCCTTTTTATCAGAAACCTGGCAAGTTCACATCAGAGTTGTCTGGAGCATGTGTT